GCCGCGCTGCCGCCCCGTGGCTGCGCCGGCGCCCTCCTGGCCGCGGGGCCTTTCCTTCCCCTGGTATTTCTGGTTGGTTTTATTTTTTCCTCAGTGACTTTGAGTTGCGTCGTAGTCCGGTGTCGCCTGCGTTGCCCGATTTGTGTGCTGGCCGGGTTTCTGGCCCAGCAAACAGGCTGTGCGCTGCTCTGCCAGCCGGGCTCGGGTACCGGGTCCTGCGCTGCTGCTTCAGCCTCCTCTGTAGTGCGCTCAGCGATCTGCCCTGGCCTCTCCCACTTTTTAAAGCCTGCCTTAACTCTGTTTCACCCAAAAAAAAACAAAACATCTAATTTGTTTTGAGATGCGCAGAAAAATTCTTTCACTAGGAAAACCAGTCCATTGCAGAGGGATAGAAGTGTGTAACAGATAGCAAATCCCTTTGTCTTTTTTTCCCACCTTCTTTCTTTTTTATGGTTATATTTGGATTCTATTTTCTCTCTCTTAATATCTTCCAAACTCTAGCAGGCTTTTCTTTCTGTTTCCTTTTTACGCCAGACCATTACATTTTTTACACCAGCTTTTTGTCTAAACACAACTTTCAGCTTCATTTCCATTGCAAAAAAAAAAAAAAAAAAATCTGGGAGTACTAAACAACACAGAGTTCACATGGAAGCAAGAAATAAAAATAGCGGGAAGATAAACTGCTCCCTCACAGGCCTCGTGGGCAAATGGCAACGAGGAGGGGTGTAATCCCTACCTTTTCCTTTTTCCACTGCGAGGTTATTTGTGTGTCTCCAGCTGCTTCTCAGACCACCTTTGCCTAGGGTGCTTTTGTCCAGCCAGCTGGGATTCTTTAACTTGCTGCTGATAGTGTTTAGAAGCTGAGTTAAGAGTCCTAAAGTAGCTCCCTACTCAGCCTCCTTCGTCAAAGTAGCGCAGCTGCTTCTCAGGCAGAGCCAAATGCAGCCGATGAGCTGGGAGGGGAAGCGGTTTCCTTCTGAAGTGGGAGAGGAGGAGCGTCAGCCCTGATACTTCAAAGGGGAAATGTTACGTCACCCCCACAAGCTTAACAGCACTGTGGAAGTATTAACCAGAAACTCTGGGCCATGTGGGGCAGAGGCAGTGTGTGGCTTGGTCACTGAATGAGTGTTGGCATGCTGCAGAAAATATTGTAATTCAAAGAAGCCTGGGTGACTTGGGAGCTCCTTTAGGGCTTTCGGTGAAGCCCTTAAATAAATATGACCTTTTGAAAGCATTTTAACTGTTTATGGAGCTGGCCTCTGAACAAGAGGAGGGAAATAGATAGTTTGCAGTTGAGGAAAGGAGAAATTAATGGGCGGGAAGGCTTTAATTAAACAAGGAGAGAGAATCTTCTTGGTTTTCCTGCATCAAAGACAATGGGTGTAACAGCTTTTGTGTTCCTTTTCAGTGATGGTCGAGTGCCAGTTTTTTAGCTCTGGCAGGTAGTGTGGCAGGTTTAGCATCCTCAAAATACGCTTTGGATGCTCTGGTCTTCAGCTGGGAATTAATGTAGCATTAAGTTGTGACACAGCCTGCTTTGTGAGGCTGTTCCTGCATTTGTGCCTTCGGCTGACCAGAAGTGTATTAGTTGTGTGAAGAGTGGTTTAGCACTGTTAAGAGAGTCTGGTCTGCTGCTTTAAAACCAACCAGCCAACAAACCAACCCACCCACCATGATATGGAATGAGCTCTGATGGGGTTTTACCGCTGTGAGATGCATCTGTGAAGGAAGCATGGTGGTGTTGTGGTGGAAGCAACCACTGGTGTATGGGGACTCTTTGTGGAGTGTAGGGTGTGAACACATTCGTTTAGCTGGCCGTTGTGGTGCTAAGATAGTTGTGTTAAAGGTTGATACCTTTTTGTGGCTTCTATAGAGACGAACCAGACAATATCGTTATATCTTGCTAGTAAAGGGTATGCTGAAAGAATAATGTCCTTATGAGCCTGTGTGGCTTTTACTTCTAGGGAAAAAAAATTCCCCAGGAAGTTTGTGATGGGGAAATTCCAAAATTTGATGGAGCAGGTTACGACAAAGACTTGGTTGAAGCTCTTGAAAGGGACGTTGTACCAAGGAATCCAAGCATTAGTTGGTATGAGGATTTTCTCAATTCAAGTGTTTTTGCTAGTGTGGAGAAGGAGAGTCAAGGCGCCATCGTAATATTCTACAGATAAGCAAAACAAGGTCTTTGGTTTTAACAGTTTATTCATTTGATTACAGTTAAGCTTTTGTTGCTAGCTGATATTATGTGCAGTACATCCGTTACAAGTATTGCTGAAATTAAAATACACTCCAGAGAGCTTTAAAGATACCGCTTTGGTGTTCATATTGTCCAAAACAATTTTTAATTAAGCAGCTCAGGGTAACTTGAGTTGAAAATAATTTTTTCCCTACCTTCCAAAAGTGGATTCAATTTTAGGTCACAGGATTATAGGAGCGCTCTCATGAGGCATGTACTGGCATGCTAAAAGAGATGATACTAAGTAAAAAGCTTTTCTGTTTTTCTTGTATAAAAATAGAAGAAATACTGTTGTACAGGAATCTTATACAAGTTTCTTCATCTTGTACAGGGATGACATAGCGGATTTGGAAGAAGCCAAGAAATTATTAAGAGAAGCTGTCGTTCTTCCCATGTGGATGCCTGATTTTTTCAAAGGAATCAGAAGACCTTGGAAGGTGAGAATTTATTTGTTGTTGTTGTAAATGGCAAGCTGTAGGTTTGTATGTCTGCTGCTGTAATGTGTGTGGATGTCTGTAGCAGGAGGCTAAAAAGGTAAATGGGAAAGATTAGGAATTTGTTAAATCCTCTTGTAATGATTCATGTAAAATGCACTGAAAGAAACAACTGGAAGTGTATGGAGGAAGTGTATGGAGGCTTTACAGTAAACAGTAATTCTTTTGTATTTACTCGGTTATAGCTTGTTGACATTGTAATACTTTCTATATGTCAGCTTGTACATGTGAGTAAGCACATAGGGTATATTGACAGAAGCAGAAATGCTTAATAGACAGCTCTGTTTAGGATTATGGTGGTCACTCTTCAACACTTCATGGAGGAAAGCAGTTCTTGGGCTCTTTTATTCTGCATGTGCTATCACTCAGACTGCAAACTGCAGGCTGGATGGTTCAAGGAAGCAAGGAGAGAGGGGGCTAATCTGAGTGATGATTTAGCTTTGCAGTTATATTTGCAGCTGGGCGTAGTTATTGCTGTAGTGGGAGAAATTCCAAGTGGGAGAATGAGCTGTAATTGGAAGGATATAGGACTGAGCTGGCCTGGCTGATGGACCAGAGGTGAGCCCAGTCAGGGTCTTGCATAGAGCTAACAAGGAGGAGGCGGGAGGAGGTTGCTAAGTAATTCTGTAAACAGAAAATAAAGTTGTCTTGCTTTTGTTGTGAGATGGATTGACACTTTTTTTTGAAATAACTAGTCACAACAAAAGGGCTTTCTGGTTACTGAGAAGGATTAGTGGGGAAAAGAGAGTCTTGCAAATTGCCCATTATTCTGAGTCTGCAAGGCAATGGCATGTGTAGGATAGTTCCTGTGGTTTAGTACACGGGTTCAGCACCATGTCAGATCTTGTGTTACGAGCACTTGCCTTGTCTTTTCCTGCTTGGTCCGTGTACTTCTCTGGCTTATACTTGGGTCTGCCTCTCAAAGCTGTCCTCCTCCAGCCTGAGCCAGTCCTAGATCCTTGTTATTCTGCTTATTTGTTAAAAAAGACCTGTGGGAACTGATGAGTGGAAGACTTGACAGTGGGGGTTGTGTCTACAGTAAAGAAGGGAAGTCAGAAAAGAGTGGGAGCTGGGAGATTGCTGCTTGATGGCTGTTCATGGAGGTTTTAGTGAGTTGCAGGGTGGCAGCCCAAACCTAGCCCCAGGCTATATGGTCTTCAGGGCTTTAGGGTGCTTGTGGTCAGTACTAGTGGGCTTGAGGTTAACCCTAAGGTTAACCAAGCTGTTGGCTTGGACAGAGGCTAGATATTGTGGGTTACAAGTGTAGGGTGAGATTTTAGTGTCTTTTGAACAGCTGAATCTTTCTCTTTTCCTCTTTGGCACAGAGGAAGTTGATCCATACCCTTATTATAGACTACAGGCGCTCTGTCTGTCCAGTCTTCAAGAATGTTTAAGGGAGTGAAGAGCTGCTATGCTTTTTTTTTCAACAATTAACATGCCTAGAGGATGTAGTGGCCATCTGTCTTTAAGGCAGGTATCTCAGCAGACGGCAAGGAACGTGAACAATGCCTCTGGCCCTGTGTCCAAGTATTGTGGCAGTGGATAAAGAAACAACAGCCTGGTCTTTTAAAGACTTACAGTATCCATCTCTTCGTGTGCGATTACCTTTTCCTACTGAGAAGTGTCGCCTCTGAAAACTGTGTGGTTGTAGACATGGAAAAAAAATTCTAAGATTATTTCCTCTCTTCAGTCTGAAATGCAAATTGATTTCTGACAAGTCCATGAAGAGTCTTCATTGTTAGCCTTTTCCTTGGTGACTTGTGAAGCTGTAACTCTCCTGAATTTATTTCTCACACAGAACAGCATTTATTTTCCCTACTGTTGACCTCTGACTGTGCTCCAAGGATGAGAACTTTTGAAGGGAAAACTATTTCTTGCACTAATCAGTGTAGCAGCAGGCATTTGTTGAGCCTAGGCATTCAGGACCATAATTCAGGGAAAAGGCAGCCAAATCTGTTTTTGGATGTTCAGACTCTCCTGAGAACAATTCTCAAGACAGCCCTCACGGTCTGTGCCTGCATTCAGAGGACGGTGCCTTGTATGAAGGAGCCAGCTGTCTTCCCTGATTCAACACAGGTGCTGTGTAGTTGCAGCCACGGGATTCTGAGTGGCCACAGGCTTGCTCTTTCTTGTTCTTTGCACTGTTTTGTGCCAAGAAGGCCCAGTTGCTCACTGTGCTTCCCACTGCTCTGCTAGTGATTGTTACAACAACAAGAAGTAACCCTGCAGTGATTTCATCAAAACACTTACTCCCTGCGGTGCATTTCAGCTTTTTATTTGAATACTTTGGATTAACAGAGCCTTAGAGGAAGAATAAAGAAGTCTTTGTGTTTGTCAAGGATTTTAACTAGTGAGTAAGCGGCAGCCTCCTAGTTTGCAGAGATGAAGAGCAACTTGATCCTATGTGTTTCTGTTTGCAACCATGCATATCCTGTTTTGCTGAGAACTCAAAGGTTTTTGGTTTTTTTTAAACTGGTATTTCTATCATCCTTATCCCCAGAGAGCTTGGTTTTCCCCTGGCTTTATGCCTCATGTGGCTGCTTTGCACCTGTGTTATGCACATATATAATGCCGCCGGTATCATATGCAAGGTAACGCTCGCTGTAGTAGTTACACAGGAGGTGCAAAGTGATGGGCTTAAATTTTGGCAGTGAGCGGCATGTGTAGCTGAAGCCAGAATTTGACTTTCCATAGTAATGGAGGACCAAAGCAGTGTACAAAAAATGACATTATTCCCTTTTATTGCCAGGTCCTGCAGTAAACACAGCTTGTCAAACACAGGGTCAAGGGTCAAGTGTGATTTGAACTGAGGTGCAGCTTGTTTTAAAATATTCAATAAACACGGTAGAAACTTGGAGAGAACAGTAAGTAATTTCTGACCTGCCTGTCACTGGCTGAGTCATTTTCACCCAGTCACTCCAGGGCTGTACTTGCAATATTATTGTAATATCAGTATGACGATGCAGCAGTTCAAACCACAGTATATGTCTGAACGTTCGTGGGGAGAAAAAGAGTCAATTTACTTTTTATGCTTGCTGCTCTGGAGCTTAGGAAACCTTAGGCAGCCTGAGGAGTGACATTGGACTGTTAGCTGTATGGCTGGTGTGTGAACGTTTCTGACTTAATTTACTGATGAATGTATGTTGAGCTTGCATTAGCTAAGTGTTAAATGACAATAAAGGTATTGAGAGTTAATGGAAAATGGAGTACAGCGAGGCTATTGCTTTTGAATAGTACATTTTTGAATAATTGCATTCCCGGTTGATTTGTTTTTATAGATCTCTTCTATGTCATTCTTTGTGCTTTTTGAAGTAAATTTTTGTGAGGAACAGATGAAATCTAATTTGCTGTGTCGCTTGCATTTAACAAATATTTTATTGCTGTGGCATTTTATGTAAGTTATTAATTGCAAAGCACATTACGATGTGCAATTCTAATTCTAGCTAATTTGATTGCCCTTGCAACACAGTGCAACTTTTGCTTTAGGAAACTCTTTGTTAGTATGTAATAAGCTCTTGCAGTTGGGAGGGAAAAAACCCCCAAGCTGCTTGAGCACTACATTTTCATAGTGCCATGCTTAAAATCACAGTGCCACATGCAGGCATGGAGCAGTGTGGTGTTCCTCTCCAACACTGCTGTTGAAAGGGTTGGAAAGAGTATCCATAAAGATAACTCTTATTTAGAAATATTATCAGGAGTGATTAACGAGTCTCAGTGCTACAATCTTAACATGGGTCCTGAAAGCACTGTGTGTCTAGCTAAAAGCCTGTTTGCATAATGACGGGTAAATGTGCTGAGCTGCAGAGATGTGTGCTCCTTACTCTGTCTTTCAGATGGACCACAGATGGAAGGACAGTCTGATGATGTAGATGCCAGCCTGGGACTTAACAATTGTAGTTCTGTTCTCAAGTTTAAAGCTTTCTGAATCATCACTGAGGTTCATATTAGGCTTTTGTGGGACTGAGTGGCAGTACACATGAGCCACAGTTGCTTATCTGTAAAACAGAATTAGTAGTGCTCTTCTGCCATCCAACAGTGTGGTGGGAATGGTGTTTCATCCAGGATTTGCTAAGATGCAGTAGTATGGTCATAGAAGTACTGAGATGGAGAGATTAAACAGTATGACAAACTGTTGTATTCAGTGCATGTTCTTGTGCATACTTAAGTGTAAAAATCAATCAGAGTCATACATACATGTCGTCAGGACTTTTTGTCAAAATGTTTTTCTACTGAAAAAATGCTCCACTGAGCATGAGTCAAACACAACTTTCTGCAAAAGTATTTTGGTTTCTATGAAGATTTCTTCAGGAAGGGGCCTTTCTTCCAGAAAGAAGAATTCACTGTCTTCATCTGCCTGTGCAGCGCCTTGTGAGTTGGGGTATGCGTAAGTTCAAGTCCAGGCTCTGTCTGATTCAGAAGAAGGCTGTAAATGTGTTGTCTACTTCCCAGGTGATAGATGCAGCAACAGTTACTGGCTTTTGTGATTAATACTCCAATTGAGTGGTAAGAAGAAACCACAGAATACTTCCACACTGTTCTCGAAAGCAAGATTCTTGTCTTTTGTTTTCCACTGATGACGATTATGTTATTAAACAGTTTAAATGCAGATCTTGGATCACGTTGAGATGTAGTGTAGAGTACCAATTGCAAAGTCTCTTTATCTGTTATTCATTACCTTTGCTTTCACCTTTCAGGGTGTGCTGATGGTTGGTCCTCCTGGCACTGGCAAAACAATGCTAGCGAAAGCTGTTGCCACAGAATGTGGAACAACATTCTTCAATGTGTCTTCCTCTACCCTGACGTCTAAATACAGGGGCGAGTCTGAGAAGCTGGTCCGCCTCTTGTTTGAAATGGTATGTCCTCAGTGTTGTGATCTGGGGCTCACTAAGGTGAGAAAGGACATCTCTCTTGGTTTCCTGCTCCTCAAGTAGCATGTTGGAAGCACGGAGTTCATTGAACTGACACCCCCGCAACCATGTCCAGTCACCATGTGTTTAGGATAGCATTTTCCAGACTAAACGTAGAGTTGTGAACTTGACAGAAATTCAGTTCTTTTTCGGTTATGGGATAACAAGCCCATAGGAAGTAGATTTGAAATTGGAAGGGATTTGGAACTGTTATTCTAGAAGCAATACATATTTTCATTCAGTTTCTGTTCTGAATGATGGACACAAGTCTCTCTGTGAAGTTGTGAGTGCGGTCCATCGTGCAGGGTATGTGAAGGACATGCCCATGTGGACCTGTACTGAAGAGCCATTCACCTATTTGGGATACTCATTGCACTTCTACAATACTCAGTTAAAATCTGTGTCTGTTGAGATAGGCTGAGTTCCCTTCCGTCCCCTATGCTTATGCCTCACTAACAGAAAAACCTGGACACGAAAACTGTCTATATTTCGATTGTGTTCCTTTTCCCCTTTTCAAGACTAGTTGCTGAGGAAAACCAACCAACACTGAAAGACACCTGGCTCAAGGAGTACAGTTTAAAGTGTATAAACTTCTGCATATGCCAGACAGTTTGTAAATCAAGATCTTGAATTATTTTCTTGTGACAGGCAGGGAAGATATGTACATAATATGTCTAGTGGGACTGGGTCATGGTCTAATGAGGTCCTGTGCCTGCTGCTGCAGCCTTAATAGTAATGTTTTCATTTGAATAAAGGCGAGGTTTTACGCTCCAACAACAATCTTCATTGATGAGATAGATTCCATCTGCAGCCGCAGAGGCACGTCTGACGAACACGAGGCGAGTCGAAGAGTCAAGTCAGAGCTGCTTGTGCAAATGGATGGTAACAAGTGTTTAGATCTGAGTTTGGGGCTGGGGTGCTGTTTTTTTTACAGGTGGGAATATAAGAACTTGAGCAATCTGGAAAACCTGGCTTTATGGATAGAAGAAAAGTAAGGCAGAACTTGAGAGTAGTGTATTTCTGGAGTGTTCATAGAATCATAGAATAGTTAGGGTTGGAAGGGACCTTTAAAAGTCATCTAGTCCAACGCCCCTGCAATGCGCAGGGACATCTTCAACTATGTCAGGTTGCTCAAAGCCCCATCTAACCTGACCTTGAATGTTTCCAGGGATGGGACATCTACCACCTATCTGGGAACCTGTTCCTGTGTTTTCACCACCCTCATTGTGAAGAATTTCTTTCTTACATCTAGTCTAAATCTACCCTCTTTCCATTTAAAACCATTAACCCTTGTCCTGTCACAACAGGCCCTGCTAAAAGGTTTGTCCCTGTCTTTCTTACAAGCCCTCTTTAAGTACTGAAAGGCCACGATAAGGTCTCCCCAGAGCCTCCTCTTCTCCGGGCTGAACAACCCCAACTCTCTCAGCATTTCTTCATCAGAGAGGTGTTCCAGCCTTCTGATCATTTTTGTGGCCTTCCTCTGGACCTGCTCCCAACAGATCCATGTCTGTCCTGTGCTGAGGGCTCCAGAGCTGGATGCAGGACTCTAGTTGGGGTCTCACGAGAGTGGAGTAGACTGGAAGAATCATCTCCCTTGACCTGGTGGTCACACTTCTTTTGATGCAGCCCAGGATGTAGTTGGCTTTCTGGGCTGCGAGTGTACATCGCTGGGTCACGTCCAGCTCTTCATCCACCAGTGTCCCCAAATCCTCAGCAGGGCTGCTCTCAGTCCCTTCATCCCCCAGCCTGTATTGATACTGGGGGTTGCCCTGACCCATATGCAGGACCTTGCACTTGGCTTGCTCAGTATCATGAGGTTCACATAGTTCCACTTCCTGAGCTTGCCCAGGTCCCTCTAGATGGCATCCCATCCCTCAGGCATGTCAACCACACCACTCAGCTTGGTGTTGTCTGCAAACTTGCAGAGGGTGCACTCAATCCCACTGTGTCATTGATGAAGATATTAAACACTACCAGTACGGACCCCTGAGGGACACCACTTGTCACTGATCTCCATCTGGATGCTGAGCCATTGACCACTGCCTTCTGGATGCGACCATCCAACCAATTCCTCATCCACCGCACAGTCCTCCCATCAAATCCATATCTCTCCTATTTAAAGAGGAGGAGGATGTGGAGGACCGTGTCAAAGGCCTTACAGAAGTCCAGACAGATGACATCTGCAGCTCTTCCCGTGTCCACTGATGTGGTCACTCCATCACAGAAGGCCACTAGGTTGGTCAGGCAGGACTTGCCCTTGGTGAAGCCATCCTGGCTGTCTCGGATCACTTCCCTGTCCTCCATGTGTCTTAGCGTAGCTTCTAGGAGGATCTGTTCCATCATCTTCACAGGCACAGAGGCGAGGCTGACAGGTTGGTAGTTCCCAAGGTCCTCCTTTCTACCCTTTTTAAAAATGGGTGCAATGTGTTTCCGTTTTTCCAGTCACCAGGGACTTCACCCAATTGCCGTGACTTTTCAAATATCATGGAGAGTGGCTTGGCAACTACGTCAGACAATTCCGTCAGGACTCTGGCATGTGTCTGGTCAGGTCCTATAGACTTACGTATGTTCAGGTTCCTCAGGTGGTCATGAACCTGATCTTCTCTTACAGTGGGAGGGACTTTGCTTCCCCAGTTCCCATCTTGTGGTCCATCCACTTGAGAGGTGAGGAAAAAGAGGTTGCCAGTGATGACTGAGGCAAAAAAGTTGTTGAGTACCGCAGCCTTCTCCTCATTTGTTGTTACCAGTTTTCCAGTCTTGCTCATCAAGGGGGGGTACGCTTTCTTTGACCTTCCTTTTCTAGCTGACATACCTGTAGAAGCCCTTCTTATTATTCTTTGCATCCCTTGCCAAGTTCAGCTCCAGCTTCCTGACGCCATCCCTACATAGCTGGGCAGCATCCCTGTACTCTTCCCAGGATACCTGTCCCTGCTCCCACTGCCTGTGCATTTCCTTCTTGACCTTTAGTTTGACCAGCAGGTCCTGACTCAGCCACACTGGTCTCTTGCATTCCTTATCTGCTTGAAGGCAGATAAAGGTTGTTCCACTTTTTTTTCTAAAATGGCCATTTTGATGGTAAATTGAAAACTCATGTTTAAGAGACACAGACTCTAGGAGACGCAGATAATGGAGATTTGTGCAGTTTAATACAGGTCTTTAATTTTGATGCAATTTAAACAAATTTCCCCACTTTGCTAGAGTCTCCAGCTCAGGGACCCCATTGTGGGATCTGATTTTGCTGTATTCCGTGGTGGCAGGTACTATTACCCTTTTAGTCACATTTAGTACCTTCTCTGTGCAGGTGCACATAACAAGGATGACCATCTGAGGAATATTGTATGCCATAGTAGTTTGATAACCACCTCTGTATTGCAGCTATTGTTTAACTACTATTTATAATGTCCTCAAATGTGCAGGTTCATTGTGGTAAACTCAGGGTAGGCAACGTTTTGCCCCAAAGTAGTAATTTCTTTGCAGTCCTCATTTGAGAGGCTAAGGAGTGATTTGTATTCCTTCTGTGGACAGATTTGACAGAGATAGCACTTTCTGTGGGACTAGTAGGGCTACACTCACATATGACTGTTATTAGCACTGTCAAAGACTCAGAAAAGAATGAACTGTCCCCCTCTCTGTGACAATGATTGTCTTGTCACACATAAGCTATGGGAAGTTTGGAAAGGGGCACAAGGACTGTATAGAGCTGTTGCTTAGCTTTGTCCAGGCTTTTGTAATGTTTTTGCAGTGTTTCTTAGTAAGCACATCAATCAATAAGAGATGTGGAGTGAAATTGCTCTAAACTGTTGTGCTTGCAGGGGTAGGTGGTGCTCTGGAAAATGATAACCCTTCCAAGATGGTTATGGTATTAGCAGCTACAAATTTTCCCTGGGATATCGATGAAGCTCTCCGACGGAGACTGGAGAAGAGGATTTATATACCTTTGCCCACAGGTATGTTTGCTATGAGCATTTTCCTTTAAAACGGCCTTTGCAAGACAAATTTAGGATTACTGCAGGACTGTTGCATTTGGGAGGAATCTTGATGTTTTTGTGATGAGCAGTGAAATTCAGGGTTTAATAATTTGTCTGGGTTGCTTTATTTTTAAAGAGAATGAGAGAAAAAAAAATACTACTTGCTTGGGGGCTTAAAAACAAAGAGCTGCAGCATTTCATTGCAAGGCCATTGATGGGTTCTTACATTTTGAAAGAGAGTTAGTTTTAATGAGCCTGGAATTATTTTAAATGTTTAACAGTCAATCCTTGAGTGATCATCAAAGGCAGCCTTTGGACATGTTCAGAAATACTGCAAATGCACTCTGTGCCCTTGCAGACAAATGCAAAGAAGTGGATCCATAAATTTTCACTTACAGGCTTAGTTCATTGTAAATCACTGCTTGCTCACCTTTATGACTGTGCTTCGAGTCACTCAGAATGAAGCAGGATGATTGCTTTCCTGCCCTAAGACGTCTCGGCTTGTATTGTCTTTCCTAGCTGTCATTCACCTATCCTATTAATTTTGAGATTCCTATCACTTGAAGTTTGCATAGCTTTGTTTCTTCTTGGTACAGTGGATGCCTCATCTCCCTGCATGAGCACTCAAGATAACAAGATGCGTGTTCATGGTGACAGCAGTTGTGATTGAGTTTAGCAGGTATAAGGGCAGTTAATAGTTCTACACCTTGTCATTGCAGCTTACAGGCGGTAACAGCTCCTAACAGGATGCCTGTGTTTATGACCAATTAGTTTAAAGTCCTGTCAGCTCTTGCTCTTGTTTCTAATTGAACCAGATTTTTTTTGACACTGTGTATTACACTCGGGACAACATATGAGATGTGCTCCAGTTTTATTTCCAATCGTATGTTCTTTTGCATCTATTCTGTAAATAAGAACATTGAACTCTTCTGGGCAAGTCTAAATGATGCATTTATAACTATGCTGTGTGATTTGATGTGGTCAGCCATTGTAATTGAAAAAGTGATATGGTATGTCATACATACACCTGTATATTGTGGAATTTGATGCAAGTATATATTCTACCATGTTTCATTTTCAAAATACTGCAAAGACTTGCTTAACCCCAAAGCAAAGATTAGAAGAATGTTCTCTGATACAGGACACTCTCTGCAGGTATGCTGTATGTACATTGTGCTCTGTAAATAGTAAATCCCCATTTTATAGCTAATGCTAGTTGTGTGTGATTGATAACTCCATATTCTTGACAGTTCTGCAAAGCATACAAAACCAGCAGCTTAAGAAAAGTTTTCTAATTTCTTTTATATTTCCCTTCCCACCTTTTTTAATTAGGGACATCCATAAATAAAACATAAGTGTGGACATTTCCGTAAGACTTTTAGCCTTTCCGACTGCTACTTCTTCTGTTTGGTTTTCCTCTTTTCTAGGTTATAAAAATTGGTCACTGTGGAAATAAAGATTCTAAGCTGGTATATTTTTCTATACAGTAAAACCCAGGAAAGCATTCCTCCTCTTCTTTACCACCGTTGTGGAGAGTAACTCTGAAGCCTAGGATGTCAAATGTGAATTACCTCTTATAAGCCTAGCTACTTAATATACATACCCAAATGCACATACATACCCCAATACACATATGCACATGCCCTCTACAAGAAAAATGGTTTATTGGCTGCATAAGTGCCCATTTATGCAGCTGGTTATCACTGTGTGCACACTGCATGTAGGTCTGAAAGTGGGATACCAGGACATTTGTATTGTAAATGTATTAGTACGTTTACTGTGCTAACAGATCTGTTTTCTGTTGGGCTTCATCAGTTTTCTTCCGTGCCAGCTGAGTAAAGTGCTTAAACATATGCTTAAAGTTCAGCCTATTGTTAAGTGGCTCGTGCTGTCTGAAGCTCTGTTAATAGGATCCTCATTGTGGTTCTAATGAAACTTTGTGAATAATATGCAATCAAACACTTGAACAGCGAGTGAACCCAAAGGGGTGTGAGAAGAAGCAGACATTTGTAGGATTGTGCTTTTGTGTTCTTGGGTAGCATGTGACCAAATGCTTTGTCACCTGAGATATAAAAGACATTTTTAATGACATGTGACATTGCAAAATGTCTCAAGAATATGCTGTTTTAATATACTGCTTTTAACCATATGCTTTACTGTATTTGATTGCACACTTTACTATGTTTTGTTCTTTCTCTTTTCTTATATTAAACCTTTTTGTTTGTACTTTCCACTGAAAAATCTAAGTTGTGTTTATTTCTTTTTTTTAATGTTACTCTTCAAACAAGTATTTTTATGTTGTAGCAAAAGGCAGAGCAGAACTACTTAAGATTAATCTTCGGGAAGTAGAACTGGATCCTGATATCAGCCTTGAAGAAATTGCTGAGAAGATTGAAGGCTACTCTGGTGCTGACATCACTAATGTTTGCAGGTATCTCATCCCCCTTAATTTGCAAATAAAACTGCATGCAAAGTCATTATTTATATTAGGTGATAAAAGGCAACATCCACTACAGCTGAAGCCATGCTAACAGCGACTATGCTTGTGGCCCAAAACTATGTACTGGAACCATGTGTTACTGTGATGGGGAGCAGTCTAAAGACCACGGAGTCTTTGTATGAGATATGCTTAAGTTTTTTTGGATCTGAAAAGAAAAAAATTCTCTGAGCAAATCTCACGTTAACATTGTCTGCATTTACTGAATTTGTCTGTATTTGTTAATGTGATGCAAAGCAGGTTGGTTTTTGTTTTTTTTCCCATGAGTTCAAGAGCTAGAATTTTGTGATGCAAAGGAGCCTTTCATAGAATACTTCTTTGGGGCTTCTATATGCTGTATGTTTGGACAGCCCCCAGTGCAGCAGGATCTTGGTTTCTGCCTGAATCTTCTAGGTGCAAGGGTGATACAGATATAGGGATTAGTATTTAGTTTATTTCCATCCTGTTCCCACAATTTGTTTCATTTTTTGACAAATGAGGCTTTTCTGGTGGAGGATAGGTATTTGAAAAAACCTACTGTAAGGAAGTCTATGTCTCTTGTAACATTAGGATCCCTGCCAAGAGAAACTGATCCTTTAAGAACGTGGCTTGAGATTTTTTTATTTCTTCCCCTGCTGCTTTGCTGAAATTGTGAAATGACTTCATGGTTTTGAAAACTTGCTGTGTGTCATGCCGTGCAATAGTTAAATTACTTGTTCTCCCTCTGGCCGGTGTTATCCCTTGCTGGGAAAAACCTGGGGAAAGAGAAAATGTAATTTCAGACTGCATGTGGGCTGTGGTGTGAGAAATGAACATGCCAGTGTTCTCCATGCCAGTGGGCCATGCTGGCAGCATCAGAGCTGGGGGGAGTCACAGAGCAGGTAGAGCATGAGGAGCCACAGGCACTGATGGCCTCAGCCCTGCAGGGACACGTGACACTTGTGTCTGATGCCTCCTGCTCTGCTGTTTACAGATTCAGGTGCTATATAGAAGCAGGCAACAGAGCTGGCCTGGCCTCCAAACAGTTGCTGACTGTCCTTTTGGGCTACATCATGGGGAGAAAGTTGAAATCTACGGGGATGAGGGTGCAAAATCCAGACTATTCAAAACAACAAAAAAAAAGACTTTAAGCACAGTTCCTCTCCCACCCTGCCCTTTCCTGCACTGAAATTGTAAAATTTCATCTCTATGAATCATTGTAAAAGGTTTTCAGTTTTATAGTTTTAATTATCTCTGCACATTTACCATATGCTTAAATTAGTTTTGTTCCCAGTGCATTCTTTATGTTGAATTAGTGTAGTGATCTGGGAACATGTAAGCTAAGAAAGATGTGAACCACATCTTCTATAGTAAATAAATGCTCTCTTAAGTGTTGCTGCCGGTGGTTTCTAGCAAGAGAATACAATCAAAATTCATAGGCTTATAGCAATTAGCTCCCATACATTGTCCTGTATTTCTAGGGATGCCTCTTTAATGGCAATGAGACGGCGTATTAACGGCTTAACTCCAGAAGAGATTCGTGCACTTTCTAAAGAAGAGCTTCAGATGCCGGTTACCAAGGGGGACTTTGAGCTGGCTCTGAAGAAAATCTCCAAATCTGTTTCTGCTGCAGACCTGGAGAAGTATGAAAAATGGATTGCGGAGTTTGGATCTGCTTAATCTCAATGACAGCTCTCCTTGGCTAGAGTTTTATGGTTTTTGTTGTTTTCACTTGCAAAATGAGTTAGAAATATTTTTAAAGGTTTAATAAAAGGTCTGTCTCTGCCCCATCTCACCTCCTTCTGATGACGAGATCTTTTAAACTCCATTTGCCTTTAAAGGGAATGAACACAATAATGAGCTGATACTGTAAAATATATTTTATCTCTGAAATAGTAAAATAACACAAACAGGAAGGGAAAAATTACACTTGTGAGGATAATATTTTTTATTTTTCCATTGAAGAGCAGTGTTACTTAACATCCTCATAGTCATCTTTCATGGCTGGAATCAATAAATCAGCTGGGGGATGTGACTCCAGAGGAGCTAACAAGGGCTCGCTGTACCCCCTGCTCTTAAGTGCTGCATTTCTGTTGAGCTGCTGACTCTGCCTGCCTTGAATGTGACATCGAAGTTGCTGTTCTCTCTCTGCTCAAACATTTGGAGCAAAGCCTGTGGAATAATTGGCATTACACAGAGGCAATAAGGATCAGTTTTCCATCAAGACATGGGCTCGGCACTCATGTACACCCCTTTGGAATTGCTATCACTTCAGACTGCAATGATGTTACCTGTGACGACTTCTGATGGAAATGGGGGGAAAAGGGCCTTGATTACTCTCAGTCTGGTTTGTGCTTGATCTCTGAACATAGTTTGTACCAGTTTGACCAGTAAACACTTTGAAGTTTGACCAGTAGGCACTTTGACTTGTTACATCTTGCACTTTTATGCTTATGTGTCGTCCTAATCTTTGTCTGTGCTGTCTAGATATTATTTTTGTTATTTAAGGACCAAGACTAATATCAAGGCTGTCTTTAAAACACAAGGCTGTCCTTAAAACACGTGGCTGTGGACTTCCACTTCTGATTAGTCATGAACTCCTTCCTAGCTTTACAAAGCCATGGAATTTGCACCTGTTTATGTTGTAGAACTGTTCATGCTTTTTTTTTTTTTTAATGAAGATTTCTTAAAAATGTATAAATGTTATTGACTTAGGGAAAATAATCTGTACAATCTCATTTATGTTCTTAGCTGTTTCTTCTCTCCCCATGTACAAGGGCAGGGATGAGAAGGGCTGGGGTATAAAATCTAGCATGAGAAATCCTCTCGCTAGAGTGTAACTGTCATGCTGACTATAGGAGCTTTTCACAGACCCATGCTGCGAGTCTGACATACAAAGGTTTCTCATGGTAGGAATGAGGAGAGGTCAAATTTATAGAGGAATATTCAAGCTCTCAAATTTTTGTTGATTTTGTGAGCTAGGCCCAAAGTATCTTGGTGGATGTGAGTTGCTGTGTGGTTCGGTAGGTATTCTGCCCTTTGGTTCTCTGCTGAGACCCTAGTGGCATAGCCAGATGTGGCGAACTACAGTAGGAAACAGACGACACTTCCTCTTGAATGGGAGTATATCCTTATTTGCTCCTTTTTACTAGTTTTCAGAAGTTCCCAATAATACCAGTATGGGCTATGACATATGAACCACTAATGCTACTAAAGTGTGTTTACTGTTCAATAGGAAGGACTGTCAGGATATGCGCATAACAGCTCTGACGCATCTGTCTGATTATGTGAGCGACTTTTGAAGCTGTTCTACTATTGCTGCTTTGTCTGTCAGTATTCCTTTTTCTTTCTTTTTATGTGAGGACCACGTCTTGGATTGATCCTCTCATTTTAAAGGGATGCTCCAGTTTGCATGGGGAAACACCATGGAGGTTCTGTCAGTTTTGCATTTGACATAAACTCAGTTGGGCCTTCAGAAGCATGTTTCCATGGGGCAGTCCAGAAAAATACCTTCTGGGCCGCCCAAAGTGTTTGAGACACAGCTGCTGTTCATGTCTTTCCAAGGACAGAGCATCTCCCTTGCCTAGCGTTAGCCCTGTTACACTCCTGGAAAGAGGTTAGTGCAGGAAGAACGTGAGCTTTTACCCTCTTCATCTACAGGGAGGAAAAAAAGGTCCAGTTGCTTCTTTCCTGACCAGTTTGCACTACCTGCACAGTAGAGCCCTTGGGATTCACCATTCACCACCATACCAAGGTGGAAAACCTTGTGTAGGGATGTTGGATTCGGCAGAGAGCAATGAACGGGCTTATCACAGCCTGCTGTGACCATTAGTTCAGTCTGTGTCTGTACATGCATGGAGATACATGCACACACGTGTGTATATGTATATGTATGCACACAATGTATGATGCTTCAGTAGTGTGTACCTAGATTGCATAAAAAACATGTTTTAAAGCTGTGTTTATGTGTCTCTTTCTAAACATCTGTGAAGGCCCTCTTGGGTGGCACTGTTAATTTTTGTACAATAAGCAATCTGGTTGTATGAAGTAATAAATATATGTGTAGAGCCTGTTTGTCTCGCTCGGGTGGGGCTGTGAGTGCTTTGCTGTAACAGTTTTCAAAGGCTGCCATGCAATGCAGATCTTTTCAGCATGTCACGGTGGTGTTGGACTCACCAAAGTCATGGATGGAGAGCAGTTAAAGCAGGGTCTGGTTTTTTTGGACAACACTGTCAGCAATGCTTTCCCTCTTAAATTGGCCTTTTGTTGCCACAAGCTATAAAATGGAGAATACTCCAATGCCCAGCACATGGAAGGCGGAGGGGGGGAGAGGAGAGCAGAGGCCCCAGCAGATGTTCAGTGTTAGCACCTGGTTCAGACCTCACAGAGCCAGGCAGGCTTTTTATTACTTGCCCCTGGGCTGGAAGAATAATCAGGCTCCAGAGAAGCTATATCATCAGCTGCCTGCTAACCAGAAGACTTCCAAGAGCAAAACTTCCGTTAGGAAAGGGAA